AGGCATCTATACCTTGAACTTCATAAGTGGTAGCCTGGCCCTGTTTTTTTACTTTGTAAATTTTCACTCTGTACCGTGTATCCTTTAAATTTGCATTGTTCGTTATATTTGGCCAGCCTGCTTTTAATTTTGTATCCCGTATGCATCCTTGTACCTCGTCCGTTTCACCGTGTACTCTGGTGCCTTTTATGCTGTTGACTTTTATGCTGTACAATATTACGCTGTAGACTGACTTAATTGTTGGGCCTGACATGTACCTTGGATCGCTACCGGTACCTTTCACAATGTTGACATAGGGCCTACTTTGTATTTTTATGTACCTTGTAAATATACATTGTTTTGCAATAATAAATCTTCTATTTCACTTGTATACTGCTTCTTGTGTCTTGCACATTTTACCTTTCAAAAACTCTGTATGAATTATACTTTAGATTCGAAGCAAGTAGTATTTTGAGTGGAATGTACTGCCTCGTTGTCGTACTCTTCGGAGTCGGTATTTGTCATGCTACGTTTATTGTTAAGCTAGTGCCATCAGATTTACTAACGCCTCAACCTGAACTCGATTCGAGATACAATAACATGTATCTGGCATTTCTGTCAGCTATTGGGCTGTTAATGATGTTGTCTACATTCGCTTATGATCGTTATCTTCACTGTAAATATTTCATATCGATCGTTGATACAGCTTCAAGTAACACGTATTTGAAAGGTTGGTTAATTTTAAAATTCTACTTTATTCTGATAACTTAACCTCGACATTTTTGTGTTTATTTATAATCTCTACGTGTCAGTTTTTTCCATCATTTTTATCTTCTTCATTTTAATTCTCTTAATTCTCTTTTAATTCTGCTGCAATTTATCATCCTGAAGAAGCTACTATCTATATAAATGATTAAAGGCACAGACAGTATATCAAAGGCAAAATTGCAAAACAACGTACTTGATAAAACGATATGGACGAAACTGATTGGGGTTCAATTTCAAACTAATAAATAAGAGTTAATGCTTATATATTCTCATTTACTTTTTCTCCAAAGCGGTAAACATTCTTTTTGGATCTGTTACTGTGGTGTACATGATTATTAAGACGTATGTAGGTCCATGGCCCGAAATATAAACAAATCAACATTAAAAAATGTGCGCCAATTAGTTCACAGACGTTACACTTCTTGAATAAACATGTCTAATAACTATAGCTATTTTGTCAGTTGTTTTTTTTTTTAAATAAGAACTTAATTTATGAAGGATAAGTACAAAAAATAGGATAGAATTCTATAAGGTCAAAGTTTACATAATTAGTTATCCTGAATGAGTTACTATCTATATAAATGATTAAAGGCACAAACAGTATATCAAAGGCAAAAATGCAAAACATTACGGATTATAAAAACGATATGGAAGAAACAGATTGGGGTTCAATTTAAAACAAATAAATAAGATATAATGCTTATATATTCTCATTTACTTTTTTACCAAAGCGGTAAACATTCTCTTTGGATTTGTTACTGTGGTGTACATGATTATTGTGGCAATGACTGTACTTTATAAAGTACCATACAGCGAAGCATATGAAAGTATCACGTGGGTGTGTTTTTATTTGGCTGTGCTCATCTATTTGGACAGATATTCCCATGTTTGCTTCAAGAGAGTTCAAATTTTCAAGAGGTAAGTGTTTCATACATAGGCTTACGTTTTCCTGTAATATCTCATAACATAATTAGGTTTTAAGCTTTTTATTTTACATGTTGAAAAATTAGATTTAGGCCTAAGTTTTGCAGTCATTGCGATTGTAGCAAATCATAATACACTTACATAGCAAACCTTGAAACAAACACAAATACTGTGCATTATACTTTACACTAGTACCTAAGATGTGCTCATACATTTAAAGCACAGGTGACAGCTTATTTTGTTGTAGCCGTGTGTCCTCTGTAAACAGTTGTCGAAGACGCAGCAAACCTTTGGATGATAGCAGGAAATTAATTTTTAGTATATTTCCCAATTAGTAACTGATTTCAATAAGCCGTCAAGTTATATATATAATTTCCTCCTATATTTCTTTTCCTAAATATATCTATCTAGCCATTTATTAAGACGGATGTAGGTCCATGGCCCGAAGTATAAACAAATCAACATCTAAAAATGTGCGCCAATCAGTTCACAGAAGTTACACTTCTTCAATAAGCATGTCTAATAACTACAGCTATTTTGTCAGTTGTTTTTAAAAATAAGAACTTAATTTATGAAGGATAAGTACAAAAAATAGAATGGAATTCTTTAAAAAAAAAAAAAAAACATTGGGCAACTTAAAGAAACAATGAACCCATTTTCTATTACGTTATAAGATCAAAGTTTACATAATCAGTCGTCTGTCAAGAGCATTATGTGTATCTTTCCTCTGGATTTAAGCTCTCTCTCTCTTCGATCGGAAATGTAAAAAATAAAGAGAAACTGTATTTCAATCTCCACAGGTTCGGAATTATGCACCTACTGGCTACAAATGTCGTCTACGTGTTTGAAATTGTTGCTTTTGATACCCAGGAAGACTATTATGTATATTACCCTAAAAACCTTTCTATTTGCACCTTAAAATGTAGGTAATTATTATGTATAAATTATCTTTTTTGTGGTTTTCATTTAGAAGATGTTTAACTTTATACAACGAATAGCTCCGTTATTATTTATCTGCAATTTTGACCAAAATAAATTACCAAAATTGTAATGTGAATGGTTAACTCTATGAGCATAGAAAATATCTAGCTGAGGTGTTGGGCGGGCTAGTTGGGTTCACATCAGGATAATACCGTTTTCTTGAACCACATAACACCCTCTAAAGCTCTGTCTACACTCTCATATTTTATGTGACAAAAAATGTGATATGCTAATATTTGTGTGTAGTACGATTGTAGCCTGGTTCTCACGAGAGCCCTAGTATCCGGATCGGGAGCTAACCGTTAGCGCTAACCGTTAGCACCTGCGTGAGAACGCCCGATCGGTTAGCGCTAACCGTTAGCAGTATCCGGATACCACTCACGGTTAGCAAGCGCTATCGGTTAGCAAGTAAAGCGCGTTCCTTTCATCAACCAATCACACGTACGTGTTTACAATTTCCAGTTTCTTATTAGCCAGTGATTCGATCATCATATTTTTGGTATCCGGATCGGGATTTTCTCGTATTGGACGCACGACAGCTAAAGGTTAGCAGGATTCGGATCCTGCTAACCGTTAGCAGCCGTGTGAGAACAGAGCCATATCATGGCCATGGGTAAATCACACAAATTGACACATAGAATGTAATAACGTGGACAGAGCTTGAGAAGCTTTACCTAAATCCTTATCAACTGAAGTCTTTTTCAGATTTGCCACATCAGACAGTAGTACAAATTGAAACTAATAATTGCGAGAAAGACCTAATAATTTAGTAATGAAATACATAATAAACGTACATAAGTATGGGCCTACAGACCGAACAACAGTTTACCATACTTTCTAGTTAACTGCTAGAAATAGAAGAATGTAATTATTTTTGTGTGAGTAAGTGAGCGATCAACTTTGCAACTTTCTTCAATATGGAACCCGTTTTTTGCAGATGACCCAGTATACAAAGGTCTCCCATCGATCGTCGAATATGCAAGACCGTTTGCCGCAGCATTTTCCGCCGAGTACAGCTTAATAGCAGTGTGTCTCCTACGAAGCCTGTGGAGTAATGTCGGGGGAACAGTGATTATTCGAAACACTGAAAACATCTCTAAGCGCACTTACCCTATCATGGAATCATTGTACGGCATCCTAGGGGGCGTGGTAGTCTTTACTATGGTTTTAATTCTAGGTTTATGCTTATTCATTAAGACATGTGTTCTTTGTTGGTATTATTTGGTTGTAATTAATTGTATTTTCGGTTTGGGTTTATTATGTACGTTTATCTGTCTGTTAAACACAACACTGCTAAAAGAAGATGAAGAAGATGGATCGAAATGTACTTCAACTGTCATATATGATATAGTTCTGTTATTGTTTTGTCTTAGTCTTTACATCTTACAGACCATGTATACATCACTAGCAGCTATCATTCAATACAAAATAACGCATGTAGACGGTAGATACAAACTTTACATTCTTCTTTGTATAAAATTGCTGTTCGCCATACCTCAGTCAGTCCTAATTATTATCCGGCAAACACATGCAATTGACAAATCAAGACGAAATTGCCTTAATAAGAATTTGATAATTTTTTTGACAATTACCAATTTTGCATTGTGGTTTTGTGGACACTATGAACTGAAATTCAGTCATTTTTACTTCAAAATTCAGACAGAGTTTTTTGGAAAAATGTTGTGGTACATTATACATCATGTTACTGGCCCGTTCGTGATCCTATTCTATTTCCACTCAACGATTTGTCTTTTTGAAATCTGGACTATGTTAGATTAGCATGCATTTTCGAATTCATTTGAAATGCGTTATAAGAGGATTGCTGAAAGAATGATATAAATAAAAGCCAATGAAAACACAGGAAACAAAAAGCAAGGAATAGAGACACTCTAGAAATGACAACTGTTAGGCCTACATGAAAGCAAGATGCTAAGAATTTACAGGCAACGTGGTTATCGTCTTGTAGAGGACAGACCCTTCTGAAATCTTTTATATTTTTCACTCCGTCTGTAGTCAGTTCAGTCAGGGGTGGATACAGCCCGGTATGAAAGAAGGGGTGTGAATATGTGAACTGAGTGAGAGTTTCAAGGAAGAGCCCCAGGTGTAAGGGATAAACCTCTAGCTCCTTCATTAATTTGAGTTTGTATTTGATTGATTTTTACTTTTTAGCACGGTAATTTTCTAAAAAGCTTGGGAAACATTTTTTTTAAACAAAAAATAGCGGGAGCGTACGCCCCATACGTCCCCTCTAAATCCGCCACTGTTGTGTAACTGGTGCCATCAGCACACAGCTCAAGTTATTCCTGATTGGATTGTTTTCAAAATCTCAACTTGATTTTCAGACGATTTATATTCATATTCAAAGTTAATGTCGAGATTAATGCTATTATGTCATAGGCTAGAGAACGCAGTGAGTTTTTAATAGCATGTCAGTACTTGTTGTTAAAAGTGTAGGCCTATTATTTTTTTTCAAATTGGTGTCTTACCATAATTTGTTAGGCTACACATAAAAATAATAATTCTATCCAAGTTTTATGTATGTAACAAATTATATGGGCATAATATGACATGATCATGCCTATGCATACCTTATGATATCATAATTTCTATATGGTCCATTTATGATATAGATATAAAACATCATCATTAGGCCCATATCTTTAGGCGCACATATAGGCAATTTAAAATTGAGCTGCATTCACATCGGATCCCAACCAAATTTGGAAGGCGTTTCCAAAGCGTCGAACGCCAGCGTCCTTATTCTTGCACACTAATTCCATTTTCTGATCGCTTTGGCAGGCTTTACGATCCAAAAATTCGGACTCGGTGTGAATGCACCTTTAGTTACATAATTTTTGATTGTCTGGATCAGAGCTTTCCATAATATAAAAATTCATGTGATATTTCCATCACTTTTTCTCAGTACAGTCCACGTCAATATTAAAGTAGTCGATTCACTACTTTAGTGGCGTCGCGAGGTTACCTGAATTGACAATATGAATAAATTGTGTTGAATGTTATTATACATTAGAAATCTAATAAAACAGGAACTTAAAAGTAATATTTTGTATATTTCAATAACTTTGTAGTTTCATTTGACACACGAAACATGACCATTGTAAACAATTTGGCCTAACAATAACATAAGAAAGAGTAACACAATCATTAGTCAATGCTAACTTACTGACGTTAGACTGTGTTGCATGTTATTTTTATATTAGAAATCTATGAATAAAACAGGAACTTAAAATTAATATTTTGTATATTTCAATAACTTTGTAGTTTCAATTGACACACGAAACACGACCATTGTAAACAATTTGGCCTAACAATAATATAAGAAAGAGTAACACAATCATTAGTCAATGCTAACTTACTGACTTACTGGAGCTAAATTGCATGCAATGTCATCGTATGGTACATTTTATAACAGCGCAAGACTTAACATGGATGTTGGTGATGTCAATGAATGGTAGGCCTATTTTTTATGTTTCTAAAATAAGATAATTATAATAAAATAATAATAATAATAAAACATAGGAGAAAATACGAAAATGAAATAACATTCCAACGTTTTTCGTCGTAATGCACACCCGTATATTGCGTCATAGCGGTGGGCGCACGCGTAAATAGCGACGCGACGCGATGCTACGTTAGTGCAACCTTCATTTCGAGACCCATCTAATTGCGAGTGCAACCTTCAATTCGAGACCCATCTAATTCGAGACCACTTATCCAAAGACGCAAATCACAATCTTCAGCCTTTAAACACAAAGCTGGCCCAAACCCGAGACCACCCCAAATTTTCAGGCCCCAAGGGTGGTCTCAAATTGGAGGGCGAACCGTACAAGATGAGGTAATTAGAGTGTTTAAATTTGGATGGATGAATGGATTGGATTGGATTTATTCGGTTTAAACACCAAGGATAGTCCACGAAAGCCTAGAAGAAGACTTATTTCCAGTGGGGTCCTTCTGGTGGTGATTGGGCAGTACACCGGGAGACAATCCCCTACTCTTTTCCGAAGAGTGTACTGCGTTCTTTAACGTGCACATGGGCCATAATCCACACGGGACCAACGACTAAAACGTCTCATCCGAAAGACGGTGCGCTATTATAACTTGTATTTCAGCCCTCTAGCTGAAACACAAGGAGAGGCAGCAATGGGAATTGAACCGGGGACCTAGAGATCTCTACGGTTCAACGCACACACAGCTACCACCAGATTAGCCGACTGAGCTAAGCTGCTCTCTAATATTATTATACAAACCTTAATGACAGTTATCATTGGCATATTTTGTGTAACTACTATTCAAATCATCAATATATTAAAAACAAATCTTGATACAAAATCCTGTGGTTTTACTTTAAATTTATTTTCCCAATAGTTTTTTAGCGAGTCGCCAATTGAGTGCAGTTTACGGTACTGGCCTGATACTGATTTTGTCACCAATCGTCATGGCGGTTATCCGAGAGTTGGATATCGACTTTGCCTACAACTTCATCACTATAATGTCCATCATTGCTCTCGTGTTTATGTTCTTGACATTCTCGATGGAAGTTTATTTCTGGCGAATTCATGGCGAACATATCTTTCAGGAAGTTAGAAATAATACAGTTAGCACATATTTAAAAGGTTTGTTTTAAATGTTTCATTGCAATGGTAATGTCTGTATGTGTAGGAGCGAAGAGCTGCTCCCTCCATTAACCACCACTGTCTATGCAAGTTAGGCGTCACCCCTGGACCCCACTTCAGGGTTCTTAGCTTCCCCTATGATTTTTGTCGGGAAAATCATACCCCACCCCGTTGGGCAAATCCTGCCACCGCTAGGCCTACTTCTTTGAAGCCGGGCACATAGGCCTACTGTACACTGCTTCATGCGATTCCATAAAGAAGGCAACGTAACAAGGCACGCCCAATTGTGAGCAGTGCGTGTCCCTTTTAAAGCGGTATATAAATTTCCACTGCAAATTTATCTTCATAATATGTTATCTAACATGTGACATGCCTATCACCATGTATATGCACATCATGTAGGCCTATAATGGGCATACGACAGGTTTTTGTCAAAGAAAAATGTGATTATAGGGCAGAGCATTACGACAGGCACTCGCTGCGCCCGAGAACGCAACGCCACGCAGTGACTGCCCGGTTTTAGACGAATCCATAATATTGGCCTAATAGTAGCCTGGGTTCCAGGCCCTAATTTTAGGTTACTCACTCCATACCTAATTTAATTGGCGTCCCATACTCGATTTCTTTTTTTCGAATTATTCCGTCTCTAAATTAACTTTCTCGTTGGTGGTGCTGTCCAGAATGAGAAAAATAATTAAAAAAAATAAGAGACTTGTGGCAAGTCTAGCCTAATAGGTGTTTATAATTACATGTCTTTTACAGTTGGTACATTGTTGTTCGGTTGCGTTACTGTGATTTTCCTAGTCATAAGCATCATCCGAGGACTGCAATGTACAGGCAATGGATTGGCTCAGTATTATATGCATCTGTCAGAAATGTGTGTATGTCTAACAGAAATCATATACTTGTACATGTACTCACAGGTTTGCTTCCAGAAGTTTACTATTTTGAACAGGTACGCCATTTGATAACCATTTGGAGAGCTGAATGACATGGTTTTTGAGAGAACTTTTGGCGGCAAGCAATTGCATTTCTTACTGCTGAGTGATGAAAATCTAAATTAATTCCGTCTCGTGCTTATTGCATACTATAAGTTACTATTAGAGTACCACAGTCGTGTCTTCACGACTCCAGGTGGCGCTCTCTGTTGTCAACGGACGTTAGTTACCTATCATTACGCCTGAATAACTTCATATAGGCTTTCTGGAATAGGCATTTTAAAATCTAATATTCTACCATCAAAATGTACTAAAAACACAAAAGATCGCATTACATTAGTTGTCGAAGACACATTTAATCATCAATTAAAATTTACAAAGAAAAAGTAAGATACAACATCTTAATACTTACGTTAGAAATTGGGATCTATAGTTTGTCAGTGAAGGAAATGGCGTCCGGTTGAACTCTTTTTGCAACGATAGCAACGGAGTAGTATCACGTGGTATCGTGACGTAACATTGTAGTACTCTATGGTGTGACATGTATGTTGCCAAGAGACTTTAACGTTGCCAAAGCAACAAGTAAATTCATAAATTTGACTATTATTGTCATTTTAATATTTTCGAAATGTAAATATTGTATATAATTATTTTTTGTAGAAAAATATATGTTGCATCTGTTGCATCAACTTATTCACTCTTGTTATACGACATATTATTATGGTTATTGAAATATCTTGTGTAAGCAATTCACGGATGAAATATTTATAGTGAGTACATTTAACATCGTACATTATATTATTATTCAATTAAGGGCCGAAATGGTTTACACAAGATACTTCAATAACCATAATATTTTGTAGAAAATGGACAAGAAAATTCGGACTAGGTAAATAGGGAACCACGGTGTCTGAAGTGCAGCGGGAGACATTACCTGCACTTCTCGAATAGTATACTGGCATCTGATTTGTTTCGTTGGTGGCGCCAGTTTTATGGGGGTGGGGGGGGGGGGAATAAATCCTTTGCTTTCTGACCTCTCCCGAGGGATTCTGTGACGCCCATGGCCCTGTACACTTACGTTCACGGCGAGAACATTGTTCTCTCCACCTTTAGGCAAATCATGGCTCACCATTAGTTTTCTTCTTGCGCAAGTGAAATCATACGCACGGGACCAACAGCCTAACACCCATAATCCAACGACAGAACAAGCTTTCTTACTCAAAGGACACAAGCAACACTACCTTGGCTGATCTCGAACTCGGTCCGACTCGCACCGAAATCCAAGTATTACCGCTGTGTTTAATCGCCCTCTAAATGTTATCTAGGCCTAAGAGTGTCCGATTTGTTATTTTATAGGATTTTTAAAAAACTTATGACAATTATAATGCTTTTAATTATATCTTATATTTTTTCTACCAGATTCGGCACCATGCACCTAATTGCAACAAACATGGCGTACTGCATTGGTACCTTTTTAAATGAGGCGTTCTTAGACTACTGTACTAAATGTGGCTTGACAGTGTGTCCTCTTTGTAAGTTTTTTTTAAAGATTACTAGAAAGTTTATTTAAACACATGTTCTAGGCCTATATATAATTTATTTATATGTATATATTAATTAATACGATATATTTATGTATGTATGATGCAGGTGCGAAGATCATCATTACCGATAGAGGTTACTCAATTGTTCACGAAATCTACAGTAAAAGCAGCCCGTACCTGTCGGCATGTTTAGTCGAATACTGCGTCATTGCGTCGTGCCTCTTGCGGATCACGTGGTGTAATGTCGGACATCGTAATCAATACCAACACGTTGGGATTCCACCACAACACAGCTACCAGATAAGAAAATCTAAGTACGGAATCATCACTGGATTTTTGACAGTCGTAGCTATATTCGCTTTCGGAATTGTTCAACATTATTATCACAAAGCAGTGCATAATATATTCCTTTATATACGGATTGGTTTAGATACATCAATCTGCGCATGCCTCTTCGTTTGTTTGTGGTGTATAGACGTAGATGCTGATACCTTCTTTTCAGAAACAATCTCTTCAACCCAAGACAGTGTCTTGCTCCTGTGCTCAATGTCTTTTCTTGTGTTACAATGCTTGTATACATTAGCTGCGGCTATAGTAAAAGGATGCATATTGCTCGCCCTTGATACTACCTTGTGCCTAGCCATGAGTATAATGCAAGCTTTGTTTGTGATATCGAAGAAGAGTTGCCTTCGAATATACTCGAAACCAGGCCGTATGCACAACCTTTTGCTTTTCCTAACGATCGCTAACCTCTCTTACTGGATTTTAAGCCACTATGAACTAAAGAATGAGCTCGATCTGACTAAACCCCAAGAAGCCGTCTATGGAGAACGGGCGTGGTATGCCATCCACCATGTCACAGGTCCATTAATCATTCTGTTCTTCTTCCATTCAAGTGTTTGCCTTTTCGAGATTTGGACAACACTTCCCCTAGACGGTAGCAATAGGCCTACTGACCAACAGTCCTCTTCGAATTCTATAATACAGTGAATATAAACAAACAAACAGAGCCTCTCCTCAGCCAAAATCACAACTTTGTCTAAAGAATACCAGGTAACAGTTAAATTGCCGTAATTTAACTGTTCCCTGAGAATACTTTTATTAATATTTTGTCGTTTTCCTATTTCATCTTCTCCTAAATGCTTTTTAGCTGTGGAAATATGTGAAATAAGTATTTAAAAAAATACTACCGTACCTTTGGTGTGTACATTGATGAAGTCATGACTACTCATCGGATTTATTTTTGTTTTGAATAATTTATTTTTATCTTTTTTTCCTTTAGGCACATGGCCAAGGATTATTAATAGTAACTAAATCACTGTCCTATGAGATAGGTGGCAATCACTTCACATGCAAACATAATCACACGATGTTTTACCTAGACCAAGTGTCATAAGAGGCTTAGGGTGTTGAGTAGACTTGCAACAAGTCTCTAATTATTGATTTTCCTAGTATTAGCTAATTTTGGAGAGCGACACCAGCGTCGGTATATATCTAGAAACTTTTATGATCAAAGAAAAAGTATACTGTACTATGAAACGCCAAGCATATAGGTAATATGGAACGCCATTGGTGCCAAAATCGATTTTTAAAGCATTTTTACTGATTAAGACAAAGTTTAGGGACTAGAACCTAGTCTAGGAGTGGAGTTGTTTTGGTCAGAAATCGAACCCAGGACCATGGGATGGAAAGGCAGGCATCTTAACCACCAAGCTATTCAACTCCACTCCAATCATGTTTAATTGTTCAATCTTTGCATCTGTTAATGATATTTTTTATGATTTATGATGAATAAAGAATTCTGTATGACACACACACACACACCTACAATTTAGATTTATCTTCTGATGCTAAACAACTTCAAAAAGTTTAATAGGCACGGTAGGCCCTATAACAATTTTTTATTTATTGAAACACAACTTCACTGCTTCTCTCTCTATCAAAATAAATACAATTTTCACATCCGTTATATTTTTTTGTATAAATACTTGACAGGATTTGACCAAATTAATAATTAGTTTCTACTATAGTTCCATCCATAAATACAATAAAACGTGTAGGCCTACATCTGATTATATATCAATGAAGAGAGATATCCTAAATGTTCTCTAAAATTTGAAAAAAAAATGACCTCTCTAAGCAACTTTAACACAATTAAATACTTTTATTTTAAATTAAATAATTTAAAGCTGAATATTCTCTATAAACACAATATTATGATCATTAAAGTTATTTGTAACTCTACGTTTCTACAGTAATAATCCAATGAGTATTAGCAATGTACTTGCAGTATATATATTTTCTTATTTATCTGTTCATTCACTATAAATATATGTGTCATGGTATTGTTGATATTATGACAAAAACATAATCTTAATTTGAGAAAGGATAAAAAATGAATGATGATTTTAAATTTAGGAGTAATGTATTTTTTTAAATATTTTCTAATATTAGACAGAATACATTTTTCTAAAATTTTCGTCATCTTTATTAACGGATACTACTATCTTTAATAATAAGGGTGTTTATATGTTTAGATTACGAATAATTGATTTTTAAGTATAACTGCATATTTTATTGTATTGTATTTTTTAATGCTTTCGTATTGAGATCGTTTAGCTGATTTTAAGTATGTGGGGTTTATTATTTTATTGTGAACGCAACGCATACCGCGTGAAACTGATGCAAAAAGTTCAGATATAAAAATAAAGTTATTATTTGTATTAACCGTGACTTTAAAAGCGAATAGATTGAATAATACAATATAGTTGTGAGTCATATACTATATCCTTAATAACAATTAAATTTACTGGAAAACATCCTTGTCTCGAATGTTGTTATATAGGCCTATAAATGACAAAAATACTATAAAAATAATAGTATGAGGAAGTACACTACATTAATAATCACTATCTGAAAATGTGTGGCCTAATAATTATTACCGGAAAACCTGCAGTGCTTTAGAAACTGGTTTACAGAATTTTCGTTCCTTATATTTACTATTAATAGGTTTCTATTCACTTGCTGGTTGGATTATTTTGCAAAAGTAGAGCTGAAACACATAAATGATCCTTATCGGTGGTCTGATTATCATGCGCAAATGTACAGTACACAGAGGTCAGCATTTGCGCACTGAGCATCAGGTCGTCAGCAGTGGCTACATTTTCTCTTGTCATGCGCAGTGTGTTTTGTCACATACGTACTTCTCTGTTTTTTGTGTGAACATAATATTGTATATGATGGCGGGGAGACTGGACGGGTACTGGATGACATACAACACGATTGGTTTACAAAATGACGACACGGATGGCGACACACCAGGACGACCAACGAGACGGTAACGTAACTAATTAACAAAAATGACATTTTAATATCACTCATAAGACAGTTTAACACATTGATATTAATGTAACTCAAATTGTATTTGTAACTGTGACACAATAATTGCAATTAGCGTATAGTGAAGTGCCTAAATACAACGGAATTGTAACACATTTATTGTAATATAATTGTAACACAAATTTCAATGCATGTTTGCGTCAAAAAAATATAAGAGTAGTGCTTTGCCCCACCTGACGTGTTATCGTACTGAATATTTAGTATGCTGTTATGTTCCACACACTAACTATAACGTAATTGTAACACATTAACCTTAAAGCCTGGTTTTGAGAAGTCGGTGATAGCGTGTAACGATTTTTATGGAAACCAGACTTAAAAATAGGCAAATCTCCGCCTCTTACGTAAACTGATTTTTTTTAAATGTAAATGATGATAGGCCTATAGGGGCCTATACCGTGAATGCTCTAATAAGCGCCGCCGGCGCTTGTAAAATTCTGGATTTTTCAGTGTGGCGCTTATTTGAGAGCGCCGCTTACAAAAACATATTGGCTTGGCGGTTTCCATGCCCGTACCCATGTTACCTATATCACGTATTCCCTTAGTTCGGCAGGTCTATCACAGGTCATATCGTAAATAAACGTTAATAAAGAAATATTGAGTCTTCATTGTGTTATTTATTCATTTTAACACTGTATCATTATATTTAAAACCCTGTTTCTCGAAGTGTTTCATTACACACAGCGTGACATAGGCCTACTCTCGATTTCGAGAACGGCGCTTATTCGAGAACGGCGCTTATCCGAGAACGGCACTTATTCGAAAGCGGCGCTTATTCGAGCTACGGTATCCTTTTTTTCAAAGAGATATTCAAAGTGTGATACTTTTCAAACTGTTTAATGGTCTCATCGAATACAAGGGCTGAGAACAGAGCACATTATTGGTGACGATTTGACAAGTGATATATATGATAGAGATATACATAAACTTAGAAAGATAATTGTTTGTTACACATTCGTAACACATTAATGTATTTAAAACGCAATTTTTGTATACAGTGAACAGCCATAATAAGGTATAAGCCTATAATATGAAAGTAACACAAAATTAAATATGTATGCTTATATATTTTTTTATGTTTTGATATTATTGTTTTTAACTTTGTTGACTTTAGCATAGCCGTATATGCAATATTTCCCATGTTACTTACATTGATCTTATGTACTTTGAATATTGTTTATTAGGGTTTATTTCTACAGACTAGAAAATGCTTTGTCCACCACATTTGCATACTTTGTTGTTGCAGGCCCTCCCCTCGTTGTCTCATTGTATGTTATAAATGTTGCTATCCCATTAGTGTCCTGACGAAGTCCACTGTGTGGACAAAAGCTGAGATTAGTCTTAGTTAGTCTTAAAAGTGCACTGCTGTCATTTCTTTTATATTGTTCTACAGACTAACGCTGCTACACATATTTTTGTAATCATTATGCCTCAAATGCAATAATTAATATAAAAAAAACCATTTCAGTTTTAGTCAGTTGGGTGAGATAAAGTGCCCGGGGGTTAAATATGCGCGTACATCGTATTATAGGTCTCGTGGACTACTGATATGATTCTCACTTGATAGCGAGAGGTTGTAGGTTCGAATCCCGACAGAGATACATTATTCATACAACTAAAAAGGAACTTTTCGTTGTTGAGGTATGCTGTAAAACAATCACCGACCTGGATGAATGATAATATAATATTCACAAACATAAAGCCTATAACATTATTCCAAGTTTCTCGGGATCGTGCCTTTGAAGAGATTGTCTGAAATCATATTTTGGTATTGAATGTATGTTAGGCCTACAGTAGGTATACTTTGGATAAAATCAATCAATCATTGATTGATGGACGGTTTTTTTTTTAAATTAATGATAATAATACTACTACAGTACATGAAAATAATATAACAATAGTAACAATGAAATAATGCATGACAACCTTTTTTTTTCTAATGTTTGCCACTTTTTCATGTCGTATTTTTCTTTCCCAATTTTAATGTAATTCTAATTGAAATGTATTTTCGTGTGCTTTGCTTGGATGATTGAATTTTAATATTTGATGTTAATGATAATAATTTAAATAATGACACGGTTATAATGATTCAATAATTAATGATTAAAATAATCGATTTTATTACATATGTTTTATTTATATGTTTTTAACTTGTGTACTTCTTATGTTTCCAATTTTAATGTATTTTAATGTTACTTTTTATCTCCATTTTTATGTTTTGTGCTTGTGTTTTCATTGATGTTTTGATGTTTTTATATTTGCCTACTTGCCTTATTTTTGTAAATATCAATTAATTCAGTCTTGTATGCGAATTTGTATAAAGATAAAATTGAATCATAATTTGTATAAAATGCAATTTTTAATGTTTTTTTTATCTGTGCTGTTTGTGTATTGTTAATTAATAATTAATCCTTTGATGTTTTTATATTACTTTCCTTTGATGTTTTTATATTACTGTTCTGTATTATTGTAAGTATCATTTAATTCAGTCCTCGACTGCGATTTTGATATTGAATAAAATGAAATGAAATGAAAATAAATTTCACCGACTCCTTTTATTCTTTTCATAGGTTTGAGATAAGCTCGTTGCTAAGTATGCTTTATGGCATGAGCGTGTTTCTGCTAGTTATGCCCGTCTTAACTGTAATGGTAAAACAGTTTGTAGCAGGGGTACAGGGCTGTGCTAGCTTTTCTATATTCTTTGGCTGTGACTACATCGTGACCCTTTTCATCATAAGTGAAATACACATGGTGACAACATTTATAATGGAGTTCTATTTTCGTCGAACGCAACATACTGAACCGGTAACCAAACACATGGAAGTCAACGCCTATGTTAAATGTAAGAATAAACTAAACCTTGCTATCATCTTGGAATACGATTATCATCATTATTACCATGATATTGTTAGCAATGTTATTACTATAGATATTACTACAGTATTACTTCTAATCATTATAAAAGTAATTATTGTTATTACAGCATTATTATTTTTATTATTATATATTATTATTATTAGCATCAGCAGCAGCATCATCAGTAGAAGTGTAGTAGCATTGATCAATACAAGAGCATACGTTTCAGATGTTATCACTTACGTTCTGTTAGTGGAAAATAGAAAGCTTACTAAAACTTACTAAAATATATAAAGTAAGCAACTTGAAGAATTGTAAGAATTAGTTTACTCTTTCACTGGCCACCCTAAAAAAGATCCAGCAAATTTATGTACATATTGGATGAGTTAACATACTGGTCGATGAGATTCTAAAAAAACATTTAAAAAACTGAGCACTCATCGTACGACCATTTGATGACGTATTTAACTCCGCTCCTTGTGAACGCTAAACGAAGCGACGACGCCTTCAGCTGATTATCAGTGACAGTCTGAACGAATCGTCATTAAAAACGATCCGTTGGGGGCGGTCGTCGTGGCGTTGCGTTCTCTATAGAATCACGTTGGCCGACGACCATCTATTGCACTGAGTGCCCGGCTTTAAAAATATAAGTAAAACGTTTTTTGTTTTTTTTACACCATTAGCAGTTTTAATAAATTAAGCATGTCACATTTGTCTTTTAAAATTCCAGTGGGTTTGTACGTCTTTGCGGGGGCAGCCATTGCTGTCAATTTACTGATACTCATCAAGAAATTGACCGTCTCCAAATTATACCACATCAATTCAATAGTATTCTTCATCATGCAGGTGATCTACCTACAGAGATATTCCAGAGTTTGTTTTCAAAAGCTGAGAATTCTCAACCGGTAATAAATACTCTCATTTTCGTAACTCAACTTAATCGTCCTCCTTGTCAGAACTAAAATCAATAGTTTTAAGAATCGGTTGGTTTTGTTTCATTCAGTTTCTAAAAATAACGAGGAAATTATGAAATAAAGCATAGGTTCTTCAAAATTAACGCGACAGAGTCAAAATCTACTTTTATTAAGTAAATGATAAATGTGTGTGGGAAAATGATGATGGTGATGATTATTAGTAATAACATATATATTAGCATTGACATATTAAGCATTTATAATAATATGTTAATATTATAATTATTTAAATGTTAAACTAAAAAAATATTGTCATACTGTCATTGTTTATTTTTTCAGTGGGGGTTAAACCCGATTTAGCATCTTCTTTTCATCCTTTTTCATCGTAAAATATAATATTTATTTGTTTTATGCACTTACTATAAACTTAATTTTAGCACACTCATTTGTATCCTTGTTTATAAAAACTTGTTACTGTTAATTTTTACTGTTACTGATATTGATTTTGCTTTTGTCATTGCTACTGTTTGTTATTGTTAATAATATTCAATATTTGATTGTGTAACATTATTTTCTACATTATTCATTATTATATTTATCATTATTTATTTATAATTATGTATTTTTTTATTATTTATTTTCATTATGTATTATATTGTTTTGTGTTTATTATATAATATTAAGTATATATGTACCGATTGTTTCCATAGTTTTGGAATTATCCAGATACTTGTGACGAATCTCTCTCATTGGGTGCTGCTAGTGTCCTACGAAACCTACATCGACTATGTACAGGAAAAAAATGGAACAAGTATGTATTCTCTTAATGTATCCACACTAGCGTTAGCTTTGTGCATTTTCAATCTCATATTAAACAAACCATATACTATGAGTTACAGTATATTTGTGAGTTTTTGTGTACTATGCGTTGCAGTAAACTTCGCATCACAAAAATATCAATGCGCAGAGGCGGATCTAGAGAAAAATCTGTCGGTTGCACTATGGGCTACATGGATCAAAGAGAGTTTACTGTGCACCACCTCTTGGTGCTCTACGTGTTACAGCACACTAGGCATCACTAAGATATCTGTGTCACTTACATTATGCGTCACATACACTTTAGAACCTGGTGCGCCCGACATATACATGTACACTACACATGGTCACAGTGTACGTCACGGTGCATGCACTAGATGTTATAATGCACGTCACAGTGTATCGTGTCTGATAGGTCTATTTTATTAATTATAATTCGTATTACAAGAAAACCCCCCAAAAGAAATTAATTTTAAGATTTTTTTTATATTTTTTTTCTCTCAGATATAACTACTTATGATAAAGTATTTCCTTACCTGATGGACTGTACAGTTGAGTACTGTTTGATTGCTGCTGCACTTCTTGGCAATATGTGGCGAAACATTGGTCGAACACCGAAACTTGAAATTATCATCCACAGAGCATGGACACAAAGTATTCGATCGTCTATCTACGGTATATTCGCTGGTATATTAATTGTTGTAGCTGTGTCCTTCATCGGGATTTGTCTCCTCAACATTTCCGCAACCGGAGGTTGTTTCAAAGGGGGTCATTTTATACCATGGGAAGTATATTTTCGTATCGGTCTCGCATCTGCAGTAATCATCTGCGTAATTTATTGCGCACTCTTCTTAAAACCTACGTCAACCAGCTATAGAAATGACACACCTTCAGGCCTCAACCAAGATGGTGTACTGCTGTTGTGCTGTGTGGGGGTTCGTGTACTGCAGGATATGTTTAGCATATTGGCAGCAGTAGTCTTATTCACCAAGCATTCTAAGTACAATATAACTCTATTAGACTCATTAATTTTTCTCACCGCAACACTCGCGCAATCAACGCTCATAATTCTAGGCCACGTAAAGAGGTCGGTAAAAGAAGAACGCAAGAGGACAGTTCAGAATATACTTCTATTTCTCTCCATCACCAATTTCTCTCTATGGACGTTGAGTCACTACGAGCTAAAAAACGACAAATCGTTCTATCCACTTGAGAGAAGGGCATACGGTAGTTTGATCTGGTACCTAATGCACCACGTCACAGGTCCTGTTATTTCGTTTTATTACTTCCATTCTGCCGCTTGTCTCTTTGAGCTTTGGATTGCAATTTCCCATAACACATAGTCCTACAATGTTTTACTCTTATTACTATAATTACTATAATGTAGTCCTAAAAACCTACCGGTAATGTATGTAACACATCTCTTAGAACATTTTCAAAATACTGTATATTGAATCATAACTTTTTATGCATGCCCGCCAATATCGTAATAACTCATTGTACTCTAGAGGTTTGACGCTTTCCTTGATGGGAAAGATTGCAGATTCGTGTCTACTAGCGACATATTTTACTGAACTTACTAAATTTCTTCCTGAATTTTAAACCCTAGCATAACTTTAATAATAGGTTGTCAGATCGAACTTCTTATATAGTGTATATCTAAGAGGATGGTTGGACCAGTGGCACTCCAGGACAGATTTAAACATTAATTCTAGTGACAGTCAGAGCTTTGTGGCGTTATTCCAAATAACAACATCCCGTCTTCAGAAATAATTCACAAAGCCAGATTTTCCAGACTTATATTTTAACTTATGGCAGTGACCAGCAGTTATAGAATTTAAATAACTCTACGGTAAAACCTCTAAATCAGTTTGGCTCAGATCAGAATCAACCACGTCATTATATAATTTGGAATCATCAGCAAATAATTTAGTAAAAGACAACAGACAGGGGTGGCGCCAGCAAGTGGGGGGGGGAGCCACAGCCCCCCCCCCCCGTCGGGGAGAAAAAGCACAATTTGTCGGGGAGAAAATAAAATTATATGTATTTTCTACATATTAGTAGACTCTAAGATCGATTAAATAAGCCTTTGAAACCCCTAAATTGTTAAAATTTTCGAAACCTTTTAATCGAAGCTCGACCACACCCACATTGCTTTCTTCGGGGAAATCTTAACCCTCGTCGGGGGCATCGGCCCTCTCGTCGGGGACCTCCCCCCCCCCCCGTCGGCCCCCCCCCCCGTCGGGCAAATCCTGGCGCCACCACTAACAACACATGACGAGTATTTAATAACGATCAAAACTATTATTGGCATAAAGACCAAGCCCTGAGGAAGACTGCTTTTAACTAGTTTAGATGATGAATGGTGTTTGTTTATAGAAACCTTCTGTGATTTGCCAATAAGAAAGATTATTATCCAAACAGAGTGCCACTAATTCCATGACTTTAATACGTAAATATACATTTTCAAGTTGAAAAGCTTTGATTAACAGAATTGTATAATAAAAATTCTACTATATTTTGAGCACAGTTATAATTATATAAATATTTATATTGAATATGTTGTGTTTCCGATGCATACTTTCTAGATTAACCGAATCGCCACGAGCGCAAAAAAGCACATTGATAATAATAATAATAATAATAATAATAATAAATAATTAAAAAAATAATAGTATTAATATTAATAATATTAATAATGATAATAATAATAATGATGATAAAATAATTATAATAATAACAATAAATAATAATAATAATAATAATAATAATAATAAATTTATTCTTTATTCACGGTAAAACTCGACTAAACAGAAATTAAAAAGTTGCTTTTCAGCAAGGCAGTTTCCTTAAACTAATTATGTACTAAAATCTGAATCTAAAAATACGCATTTAAACATCTTACGCCTGCATACTATATAATACACATTAAAACATAATTAGAATTAAAACATTATAGAAGTGGTTTGGCGCAATGGTTGGTTTCCCAAACTCGAGGTCGGGGTTTCAATCCCCTCGCTGTGCATTTCACTTGTGTCCAAATCGTTCTATCCACTTGATCGAAAGGCATACGGTCATTTGATCTGGTACCTAATGCACCACGTCACAGGTCCTGTTATTTCGTTTTATTACTTCCATTCTGCCGGTTATCTCTTTGAGATTTGTATTGCAATTTCCCACGCAACACAACTCTTAGAACATTTTCAAAATACTGTATATTGAATCATATCTTTTTATGTAAGAATACAGAATAAATACAGTTTAATCCAATGATTGGGGGTAGTAATGTAAAGGGTTTATTAGGCCTTGTTGGCGTTAAGCGTACCTATAAATCTAACATACTATATCTATATTATTATTATTATTATTATATGTTACAACAATTCTGATTATAATGGTGGCAGATAGTTTCACTAAAACTCCTGACAATTAACGGGGAACTTAAATAAACCTTTCTCAGAAGAGTATGCTTAATACTAATCTGAGACAACTTGTAATAATTGTCGCAGCAATTTGTGCAAAATAAAAGGAGAACCCTAGAGAAAAGACAAAAAGTAGGCCTATTAAAATTTAACCATTTATTAATTACATTTGTTATGCAAATATAATGCAAATAAGAAGGAAAGAAAACTTACAGTCTCAGCCTTTTCAAATATTAGCTTAGGCCTATCTTATATTTATTTATAATATTAGCTAACCGTATATTTACTGATCATCTTCTCTTTCACTTTCATTCTGTGCTTCCTTAACTTTCCGTGAATCCTATTTACCTACCTTTTCTTTCTTTCGTCTTACTTTTTCCTTATAATCTCCCTTTCTTTCCTTTCCGCTTTCTTTCCAATACTTCCTTAGACATAATTTAGCTTTCGATTACCTTTATAATGTTTCCTTATCTATCTTCTTTTTCTTTGTTTCTTATGTATCCTTGATTTTTCTTTTTACTTTATTTCTTTCCTTATGCTTTTTCATGTATCTTATTTTTATCTTATAATTTCTTTCGTATTTTAATTCTTTCTTTCTTGTCCTTTTCTTTCTTTTACCATTCTTAGGTTGCCTTGAATAGTCTTTCCTTTTCTTTCATATGATTCGTTCTTTTCATCCATTTTTCATTCTTATAATCCTGAAAATAAATATTTACTGATGTCTGGTTTTACTGTTTACATTCGTGTGTGTGGGTGTGTGTGTGTGTGTGTGTGTGTGCATATATGTGTACATGTGGTGTTACCTGGAGGTCGTGTGTTCGATTCTAACCGAAATCACTTGCGAGATTTTTTTCCGCAAGTATTTGGGAATGTACTTAGCATTCAGTACTTATATCACGTCAGGTAGGGTAAACATCATTTCGTATTATTTCTCCTGACGCAAAAAAAACCCAACCAAAAACAAAGACAAAAACAAAAAACCAAACGCCATCGGAAAAGAATAGAATGGCAAATAGTGTCAAATACAGAAGACAATTGAATGAAAGCAACAACCTTACCCAAATCAATAAATGAAAGAATGTCAGTCAGTAACAATTTAAAGTAGATTCAGTGGAGTGGCAGGTTAGATTCATGAAGATTATTTTGGTTGAGGTAGTCAGAAACATCTTTCAATACATTTAGAAACAAAATATAAATATGAAATGGGCCGGTAGTTATTAATACTAATAGTTTCAACATCAAGATTGTGTTGTTATACAAAATAATATACATACCGTAATAATTACTTGATTTCCCTTTGTATGACAAACTAAAAAAAAAAATAGATAATGTCACATTTTCAGTTTCACAATGGCAAATGCTAGCAATATGATGTCTCGCATTATGCGCATGGCAAGATGAGGTTTAAAAAGCTCAGTTTTATGGAAATCTAATTCATTTCCTTGTTATAAATACAACACACGGAGAGACAGGTGAGTTGGATAAATATTTTTAAAAGAATGTGCTTTAGAAATGAGATGTGTATACGTACATAGGTCTATATAAAATAAATATATTATTTAATTCTTTTTAAATGATCTGAATTAACATTATATTTCAAAAAAAAATTTGGTAGAAATTATTATAAACTTTAATCCAAAATACAAATAAATTTGTTTCTTGATAAGTAACAGCTATAATGTTTAACTTAAATTTTTACAAAATATAACATAGGAATAAGAAAAAAAAAATTATATTTCTATAATAATTGTACTGTATATAAATATGTATTATGTTAAAATCATTATACCGTAGCTGCTTGCATGGACTGAAACATGAAAATGTTTAGTTGGAGTTGTGCGTTTGATTGGGGAAAAAAAACATGTTTAACTAAAAAATACATTCATAAATCTAATAAAAAAAAATAATTATTCTGGTTTCGTTTAAAATTTCACCTGAAGGTGAGTGGTAATGCGTTGGGTAGACTGGCGTGACGAGCGCTTTCCGGCCTATGATGTTAAGCAGTGGAGAGAAAAAGGGGAACACAACAAAAGTGATGATTACAACCTTTAAAATGTTTTTCATACACTTTTACATAGTCTACCAACCATAAACTAGTAAACATAAACAGAGAAGGGAGATTCTAATTAACCAATACCTGTATGTGATTCAGTATAGTTTCTGTAGCAAAATACTAATCATTTAAAAAAGAAACAGATACAACACCAAGACAATATGGACTTTCTCGGAAACATTGATACGCAACATGAAGGCAATAGGGCGACCACTGTTACGGAAAGGATACCCATTCTTCATAACACTACATCGCATAGAGAACGGTAGGATAATGATCCTTTATTTGAAACTCCTATTATACTCTGATATTGTATATTAACAAACATTTATTATTATCAAACGTTATCGGCAGCAGCATTAGTGACAGTATCGACGGCAGTAGCAGTGGCAGTATAGGTGGCAGCTGCAATTTGCAGCAGCAGTGTAAGCAGTATGGGCGGTAGCAGAAGGAGCAGTATTGGAGGCTGCAGTAGCACTATTTGTAGCATGCAACATGCTATATCAGAAGCAGCAGCAGTAACATTATCAGTAACAGCAGTGGAAGTATTGTTGGCAGCGTAGTAACATTATAGCAGAGCAGTAGTAATAAATCGGCAGAGCAACAGTAGCAGCAGTATCGACCAAACAGGAGTAACACTGGGGGCCCTTTTTGGGTCCCCGTTCTTCCTCTATCTATATTCTTTGCGGATATTGAAAACCAGCCATGCGGAAATTCTAAGCAGCTGAGAGTACGATACGATAGGCCCGACTTTGACTTATCCTAGATACCAAAGTAGGCCAAACATTAAAAAACTTTGCTATTCCAATGAACTGTAGCAATCCACTCGAAAAATTAAGGTTTATATATAAGGTTCTGACTAAGAAATGCTAAATGAAACAGAGAACTTACTGTACTACATTACTACAGTATATATTTTTAAAATTTGCTTTAGCCAGGGTATGCACTGCATAACTTGCTTGCCTTGACGGTCCGCCACTGATTTAAACGTATGTCAAGCAGGAATTCCCTCCTTTCTGCACGCCCTTCTGCAAATATCTGCACCAGCCCCAGTACCTCACAGCCTTGTGAAAAGAAAAGGCCGCCTTCGAGTTCAAATAAATACATTAAGAAAATCAATTTTATAATGTTCAAGTACATAATTCTTTGTAATTATTATAATATATTTAAGTTTCAGTACATATTTAATGCGTCTCTTTTCTTGTTTTTTTTTTAAGCTTTCACATGAGTGCATTGTTTAGTGGTTTGTATGGAATGCTTATCTATTTGTTTGCAATTGTGCTACTTACTGCCGGCTTGGCCCAGCAATTGGAAACCCCGGAGACGTTTAACATCTACACCATTGTTGTATACATTGTTGCCATCGCGTGGATAGTTGGCGATATCATCTACTTAAAGGTAAACAAATTGTCACCTGTTGGAACAGAGATGAGTATGGCCAGTAGTCTTCATGTTAAAGGTTCGTTCTATTGTATTTACTTGGTCTACATGTATGACAAACACAAAGGCTATGCGTTAAGTGTAGCGCCACATGGGCCGCGCGGGGGGGGGGGTGGAAACATGAATCACTTTTCTTTTGTTTTTGCATATTGTAAGGCACTAAAATCGATTAAATAAGCCACTAGAATTAATAAATTGTCGTAGTTTTGGAGGGTGTAGGGTGGGCTTTCTGTCATACAATTACCTTTTAACTTTTATGCTACTTTTTGGCTTGTTTTTATGGAGTGAATTTTGGGAAGGTTGGATTGTCTCTCGGTTTCGGCATTGCAGTTTAGATTTTCTATTTACTACAGTTTGCCCTCCAATTCGAGACCAGCTAAACCTATTTACTACAGTCTGCCCTCTAATTTGAGACCACCTTTAGGACCTGAACAATTTGGGATGGTCTCGAGAATCTGTCTCCACATAGGGGGTTAATAGCCTGGTTCTCAGGAGAGCCCTAGTATCCCAATCGGGAGCTAACCGTTAGCGCTAACCGTTAGCACCTGCGTGAGAACGCCCGATCGGTTAGCGCTGACCGTTAGCATTATCCGGATACCGCTAACGGTTAGCAAGCGCTATCGGTTACCAAGTTGAGCGCGTTTTTATCATCAACCAATCACACGTACGCGTTTACAATTTCCAGTTTTTTATTGGCCAGTGATTCGATCATCATATTTTTGGTATCCGGATCGGGATTTTTTTCGTATGGACGCACGGCAGCTAACGGTTAGCAGGATCCGGATCCTGCTAACCGTTAGCAGCCGTGTGAGAACATAGCCTTAGTGTTGTTAAATTGAACATGTTAGATTGAACATTGTAACTTGTGGTTCCTTGATAAAAATTAAAAAAAAGATGGTCTCGAATGGGGGGTGTTTTGCATTGCAATGTGCACCGTATATCCATTCTTTTTGTGAACGTCAGTTCTGACAGCCCAGCAATTATTATATTTTGAACAATTACAGGCGGGATCGTGACATTTGGTTTCACGAGCATTTTGATGTCCATCATCGACATATGGTTGAAGTCACAAACGTATGAGGATGTATTATTATATGAAATTGGACTTGGAATGAGAATCATTTTCTTTTTTGCCGAGATAATTTACCTGATAAATTTCTCGAACATTTGTGTTACAAGTTGGAGTGCGTTAAGAAGGTATGTGCAACCGATTTACTTTGCATCAATTTATCGAAAAACAAAATTTCATAGAACATCCCTTTCATGTTTCTTATTTAAAAACTACCATATGAAGAACGTCAAAATTATACTTACATGCATGCATGTTACAAAACTGTTCCTCCACCTGATTCTTACTATATTGGGAGGCTGCAGCTTCTTCTGCATCCACAGATGTTGAAGTAAGCTGTTAAGAGCATGATTCTTCGATTATTTCATTGTCTTAGCCTAGTGAATGTCGATTTGTAATCGCATTTGTATGGTTCAATTGGTCTAGCAAAATTTCTTTTGGTGAAATGATGTGTGAGGGCCTCGGTAAATAGGAGCCACATATCTGATGTGCTGTATGTAGATTGCATTCCATAGTGGAGATGTACTGACAATGCGCTCTACATCAGTGCTTTGCCTTATAAATATATCAAGCAAGCCTTTCGGGCTCCTTGAAGAAAATATAACATAAGGCCGGGCAACGGGTTTTTGGCTTTATGATGATTTTGAGACGATGATGTTATTAATTATAACGATGGTGATAGTGACAGAAGTGATGATGATAATGATGGTAAAGAGGATGTTGAAAATGATTGCGATAACATATGTTAAAAGCAACATTTTCTCTTTTAATTATTTTAGATTTGGACTCATGCATGTTATGGTCACTAATTTTAAAGATATGACAATGCACGTCATCATTGACTCTGGTGGTCTGAATGAAATTACAACCAGTAAAAATTCCACAAGTAAGATGAAGCTTCAATTTATTTCTTAATGTTTAACTATATATAAATATACAATATATTTTCAGACTTAGGTTAATATTTATAAAAAGTGCTCAAATATTGGAATTGATGATATATATATACTTATAAATCGTCATAGAAAGGTATTTACCTATAAATGCAACAAATAGGATTTGTACTTTCCATGGGGTAGGCCTATACCTCAATTAGATTTGAGCCACGATGAGAAAGTATCTTTTAGTTTCGCCATTTGTTTCCTGCATGTAAGGTAAGCTGGAGTCCATAACACAAGGTCTTGGATAATGCTCATAGTATTCAACTTCTTAATTAACAATCGGTTAGCGATCATCTAAAGCCCCATTACCGGCAAAATTTCGTTGTTAAGAAAAATCTAATTTTTGTGTAATGTTATAAAGATGTACAAATATAATAAGGAATTGCTAGTTTAACTGAATTTAGACATTCCTAAGCATGAAAAAATGTAAAATAAGAGTGAATTTTGATTTTTTTTTTTGTGTTCCACACAAAAAATAAATTAATGCAGATGAATTTTTCATGTTTGATTTTGCGACAGGTCTGCGAAGAAATATAGCAGGCGCCAAAAACATTAGCCTATTAAACGTTGCTAGGCTAGGCCTAGCCTTACATCGATTTAGGTTCAGTTATCACACACAAAAATGACCGACATGATATTTTCCGTTGCTAGTAAAATACTAGCAACGGAAAATATCATGTCGGCCGTTTTTGTCAATAATTGTCACTTGTGAAATATAATATTTCATAGGAATTATTTCAAATTTGTTAAGAAACTGATTCTGACCGAGATTTTGCTTTAAACAAACATATCTTAGGCCTAGCTCGAACGACTGCCTTGTGGGTAGGCCTAGTTGCTAAATACAACGAGTTCAGCCGAGGGGGCGTGGCTTGTATGGTGACACGTCATGACTGTATAATTATACCGTCTACCTAAAAACATCACACATACATTGTGTGATCATGTGACGTTAGCCAGCGGGGTGAGGCTTAGTTTGTGCATACTACCGCATTGTGCGAGATGCGAAGTACAAAAACTAATCCCATTAGAGAGGGCGCACTTTATTGACTGTATAAAGTGTATAGGCCTACATAAAAGGTAAGCGTTATATGGGCGACACTACTGCTGGTTCATGAATAATTAAGTAGCAATAGAAATTGAATATTCATTTCACCTAGCACTGTATATTGTCGACAAGGTCCAGTGAACACACACTTCTGCTGTCCAAATGTACACACGAACTTTTTTTTCTGCTTGTGTAAAGTAACAAAGTGAAATTATATAGGCCAAGCCCATGCCATGTCTATGCTAGGCTACCACTGGATGAAGGCGGCTAGTTCAAAGCCTAAGGTATGCCTTACCTCGCATTGCCGCTCTACTGTAGGGCATAGGCTAGGCCAAGTAAGTCTAGGTAAGACTTATATTATAATTTATATGGTGATGTTGGTCTGGCCCCTAGAGGCCTAGGACGCTTTGTCTACGAACCAATTATTATTCTACAAACACACATTAGTACCGGCCCTGTCTCTTCATATTGTTCATATCCATATTAATTTTAGGGTGTTCATAACAACACCTGCAGTAGTGATGCCTTTTGTTCTTTTTAATTTTTGTTAAACAAGTCTTTATATTGTATATATTTTTGTTATGTTTAAACTGTACCACTTTGAAAATCAGTGTAATAGTACTGAAAGTGCCTACAGTATAAAGAATAAATAAATAAATAATAAATAAATAAATTTAAGGATTAATATATAAAATATAACAACACCTGCAGTAGCGGTGCCAATAATGCAATAGCAGTGCCCATCTAATGATTAATGTCCTGTATAAAATGTAACAACACCTGCAGTAGCGGTGCCCATAATGCAATAGCAGGACCCATCTAAGGATTAGTATATAAAATATAACAACACTTGCAGTAGTGGTGTTGTTATATTCAGTAGCGGTGCCCATCTGAGGATTAATATATTAAATATCACAACACCTGCAGTAGCGGTGACCATCTAAGGATTAATATATAAAATATAACAACACCTGCAGTAGTGGTGCCCGTAATTCAGTAGCGGTGCCCATCTAAGGATTAATGTATAAAATATAACAACACCTGCAGTAGCGGTGCCCATAATGCAGTAGCAGGACCCATCTAAGGATTAATATATAAAATATAACAACATCTGCTGTAATGCAGTAGCGGTGCCCGTAATGCAGTAGCAGTGCCCATCTAAGGATTAATGTATAACATATAACAACACCTACAGTAGTGGTGCTAATAATGCAGTAGCGGTGCCCATCTAAGGATTTAATATGTAAAATATATAAAACAACCTGCAGCAGCGGAAATTTTTCCGGGAATGGGGCTTTAACCATTAACTGCTTTCTGTTAATTTTTCACTTTTGTTGTTAGGATAGGCTAGACCAGATGCCAACAATATTCGAGCACCTGTGAGTCATGTACCTGCTAACCACTGCTTGTCGGTGGTCTCAAATTGCAGGTGAACGGTGCGATAGTGTTGGTTCCTTCTGCGTTTAGTCTGTTTCGGTTGTTTATTTTAGTTTGGTTTGCTTAGGTGACCCTCTAGAATAGATTTTATTTTCTGGGGGTTTTTTTCTGTTCAGCGCATAGAGACCATGTATTATGCGCTATATAAGTCTCCAACTATTACCATTACTAGGAATGCATTGTTTTGTAATTAAAGTAATGTACCAGTAGGCATAAGTAATACATGAAATAGGATAGGCCTGAAACTGCAGTCCCTATTATGAAGAGAGTAGGCCTAAGGGGCTCGTAGCTCGTAGGCACCACAATAGAACAAATGGCAAGCTTGCCAAACAAAAAGTATTCAAAGTAATGACGGAATAAATCAGTTTAAAGAAAGATTTATTTGGCTTCGAAACGTAAAATAATAATGTGTATCCGATCCACACGATCACGCACAGGCAGTTCGAGCAAAACCACTATTGTAGCTATGAAAAATCTCCAACCAAGCGCCCTGCGTGTAATACAGGCTTTTTCCACGAATTGGTAGACACTTGAAGTGATGACAAACATTACGAATCAGCGGTGCGTAACCAACAAAAATAAGATAAGCTTTTGGGCTGATTTTCTGACATCATGTTATTTAAAAAAATCATAACTCCCTAACGGGGCGTCGTATCCACAAAATGTTCCAGCAAAATGTTCTTAAAATAATAGTCTACACCACGATTGAAAAAAAATTGAAAAAAGTTTTTGACCTCTGAAATCAAGATGTAAAAAGAAAGCCTATCTAAGTAGTGATTAAAATAGGCCTATGCATACAGTGCAGTAACATAGTACTTTCGTATTGTTACTGTTCCAGTTACCGATAATATACAGATTTCTCTTATTATAAAGTACAATTTATGTTTTATAAAGAAGTAGAGAATAGTAAATCATGTTTTTAACACAAGAAACTCTCATATGGTAACTAAAACAATGCTAGTCCAAACATATTAAACTATTTCGAGATAACGAAATAATATTTCGATGGAACGAAATAATATTTCGTTCGAACGAAATATTATTTCGTTCCCTCGAAATCGAAATATTATTTCGTTCCCTCAAAATAATATTTCGTTCCCTCGAAATATTATTGTTGTGTGTGCATGTATCGTCGTCGCGCTCGGTTCTCAAAATTATGCCTTCTATTTTATACGCGTACATACTGTAATATGGCCCGATTTTGATAAAAATACATGTCTGTTTCAGATTTTATGTTTTAAGTGTTAATTTCGGAGGGTATTTCTCGAATTTGTACTTGGAAAACATTTAAAAAAAATAAATAAATAAATAAATGCCGACCCGATTTTTTGGAAAATTTCGGTCGGTCGCGGAAGGAAACACAAAATATTTTTATTTTGGCCTAACCACACTTGACCATGAATTTTGTATCATTTTGTTTTTGCAGATACAACCAATTCGTCGCTGCAGTCAATGTGGAACGTTTTAGAGCCATATCTGGACGTATGTCGAATCCAGTATTGTTTCATCGCAGCTGCCACGGTTGCTATCATGTGGAACAGTATTGGCAACGTACACCAGGTTAAGACCAAGGACGTAGTCAGTAATGGACACTACTCCTCCTGGAACACAAGCATAGCTCTGATTCTAGGTTTCGCTGTTATCACAGGAACAGTTGCATCCCTAATTATCTCCTCCTCCCTTGAAGATAACAGTATTTTTCTCAGCTACTATTATATAAGGGTGACACTGAATTTCATAACATTGTACACAGTTACGGTACTACTTGCCGTTTCGCGACGCTCTAATTTAGGCTTCCGCAAGTTACTGGCCCCATTCCAGTTGGACGAACTGATCATAGGGCTTTGCCTAGTGTTCTATACTTTACAAGAGATGTATTCATCTCTTAGTCTGATCGTAGCTATATACTGTTCAGACGTGAAATATGAGGTGTTGACAAGTATCGACCAGTTGTTAACCTTGGTGAGGATAGTGATTCAAACTGTCCTGATCGTGCAAAGCCTACGACTTAAGGTGTCCATTCCGATTGGCCACTGGTTCAGATCTATGCTTCTGTTTTTTTCGATGTCCAATTTAGCCTGGTGGATCATCGCATTGACCGAGCTTAACAATAACCAACATATTTATGAGACACAGAAAAATCTGTACGGGAGAAAAACTTACGAGGTGATTCATGGAATTACCGGTCCTTTTGTAGTTTTTTATTACTACCAGTCCAGTGTCTGCTTCTTTGAGATGTGGATGACGAATAATCTGCATTTTGTAAGCGTAAAGATAGCTCACGATTAAAATTTACCTAACAGTATGATGTAATAAAATGCCTCTGACAGGATTAGAACCTGCGACCTCTCGCTGTCAATGCGAGCGTCATAAAAATTATACCAAAGAGGCTACATGGTTGAATAGATTCAAATAACCGCCAGATACTCTATTACAACATAGGTATGGCTAGAAACAAATAGTTGCATATAATATAAATCAAGATAGCCGTTAATAACACTGTTAAATTATATATGTCATCAAAGAAAGGTAAATACAGTGCTATCTTGATGTAATATCCTTTATAATATGTGTAAATAACATATGCAGTATATATTTTATGTATATAAATATATCTTATATCTCTGTTTTATATTTTTTTGTTATGGCCAAATTAATTTCCTGTTGGATATTAAAGTATTTTTGAATTTGAATTTGAATTGAATTTGAATTTAAATTTAAGAATACCACAATAATTTTCAAGCTCAATACCATATAGGTAAGGCTTAATATATTTTATTATAAAAACTTATGTATGAACAAACATCTGTTTCGGCAAATTGTTTGCCATCTTCATTACTAACATACAATATTCTTGATGAAGGAGTGAACAAGTGTGAAGCAAGCATTGTGGTATTCTTAAGATGTATTTGTTGTCTGCTGCTTCACAGATGTACTGCTCAAGTTTTAACTTAGTAATGACAATAATAATAATAATAATAATAATAATAATAATTATTATTATTATTATTATTATTATTATTATTATTATTATAATTATTATTATTATTATTATTATTATTTTTATTATTATTATTTTTATTATTATTATTATAATTATTTTTATTGAACTGATAGATTACAGAAAGTAATTTGTGATCGAAACTAACATTAAATCTTGTTCTAAAGCTTCCATAAGGGTATGTAAATTTCTATTACAATTTATATACTTTTGTATATGTTAAGTTTCTATTAGTGTAATATAATAATACTATACGCCTATACTGCTACATGTTCGCCAATATCGTAATAGCTTCCTGTACTCGATATGTTATGCTCTTTTGATGGAATATTCCATATTACTGGACATACTGAACTTAATGAACTCCAAGATTTTTTTGTGGATTTGAACCCCTAGCATAACTTTAATAAATAGGCTTCTCATTGTTGTCAGATCATGGTGTGTGTTTAGCGGGTGGTTGGACCTGTGGCGCTCCAGAAACGACTGTATACAATAACAGAAGTCACAACTTTTTCTGGAAAGGGATTCGAAATCATAACAGCCAATTAAAAGACAATTTAAACGCTGATTTGTCAGACTTTTCAACAGATGGCAAGTTGTTAGTGAAGATTAAAAACAGTATTGGCCTACGGACAATGCTCAGAGGAATACTGCTTTTAACTAGTTGAGATGATGAATGATGTTTGTTTATAGATACCTTTTGTGATTTGCCAATTAGAAAGATTGCCATCCATGAAAACAGAGAGCCTCTAATTAAATAACTTTGTATTATTTTATACATTTATAAATAAATATACCTTTCCCTAAAAAGCTAGGATTAATACAATTATATCATAAAAATGGTACTCTATTTGAGCACAGTAATATTTATTATTTAAATATTTATATTGTGTTGTGTTTACAAAGCAAACTTAATTCGTATACTATTTCTATGATTTATCAAATACAAATTTTGGGAATTATTCATATCAAGCTCCCCTGAACTTAAATACCATCTTTTGTTTGATGATTTAGAAATCCATTACGAATATCAAATTTTAACAACAAATTGTATAAACCCTATTAATTATACTA